TCAGGTCTTGTATGAGATAGGTAGATAAGTTTCCCCACAAGTCTTTGATATCTTTCTTTATCAACTAGTCTGCCTTTTTCCTTATCTTCTTTTTCTTCAATTTTCTCGGTCTCTTCATCAGAATTTTCTTCCTTCTTTGTGAACTTTGGCCTCTTCTTTGGAACAACAATGGGTGTTTCAACAGGTTTACTCCCTAACATGCCTGTCTCTTTTAAGAGATCAAGTCTGTATTTCCGCTGAGATACATGAATTCCCTTCTTTGATCTTGCAACTTCCATTCCCAATAAGTATCTTATCTTTCCTAGGTCCTTGACCTTGCACTTTTGACTGAACACATTCTTAAGTGTTATGATTTCCTCACTGTGATCACCAATAATAACTATATCATCAACATACACAATGAGAATGCACATCTTACCTCCTTCCAGTTTAACAAACATAGTGTGATCTGATAGTCCTTCTTTGTAACCCTAAGATCTCAAGACTTGTGAGAATCTATCGAATCATGCTCTTGGTGACTGCTTTAACCCATACAGTGATTTCTTCAACTTGCACACTTGATCACCTTTACCTTGATTAAAGCCAGGAGGTAGGGTCATATACACTTCCTCTTTCAAGTCTCTATTTAAGAAGGCGTTCTTGATGTCTAATTGATGCAAAGGCCATTGGAGGTCTGCTGCTATAGATAGTAACACTCTGATAGTGTTTAGCTTGGCCACTGGTGCAAAGGTTTCTTGGTAGTCAATGCCATATGTCTGTGTGAATCCCTTAGCTACCAATCGGGCCTTCAACTTTTCAAGGTTCCCATCGGCTTTGAATTTTGGGGTGAACACCCACTTGCAGCTTACAAGTTTCTTGTTCCTTAGTTTATTCACAATTTCCCAAGTCCCATTTTCCTCTAATGCTTTCATTTCTTCCAAGACAACTTCTCTCCATCTTGGTGATTCCAAAGCCTCATGAATATTATTTGAAATACTAACATCATCTAGATTTGCAATGAAACCTTGATACCTGGGAGATATAACTTCATAGGACACATATTTTTGAATTGGATGCTGTGTACAAGATTAAGGTTTCTTTCTGAGGGCAATTGGCAAATTCAGATCACTATCCAATTCTTTCCTGGCATCATTATTGGCATTCACAGCCTCTATGATGTTCTCATCTCCTTCTACAAGATCTCTTATTGGTTTTGAATCAAGGATTGCCTCAGGTGTGGGAGGTTTAATACCTTGCTTCTTCTTCCGTTTATAGGTTATGATCTCTTTTCCTATGGTACTTGTGTCCTTGTTATCCTCTGTACCTGCATTTTCTTTTGCTTCTGGAATAAAAGAGACAGATGGCTCAAGAGAGTTAAGATCAACAGATGGAATAGGGGAATACTCAAAGCATGACTAAAATTCATGCCAAGTCGCCCCCTAAATTGAGGGAGGAGGATAAAAGGATTCGTGTTCAGAAAAAGTGACATCACGAATAACGAATAGACGCCGGGAAGAGGGATCAAAACATTTGTAGCCTTTTTGAGAAGAAGAATAACCAATAAACACGCACTTGATAGCCCTAGGTTCAAGCTTTAAAGTGGGGTTAAGATGTACAAAAGCTGAGCACCTAAATATTTTCAAGGGGAGATTAGTTTCAAGATAGTGAAGAGAATGTATTTCACGTAGTCGATCAAGAGGTGTGATATAGGATAAGACTTTACTTGGCATTCGATTGATGAGGTAAGCAGCAGTAAGAATAGCATCGCCCCAAAAAAATTTTGGCATATGAGTGGTAAACATAAGGGCACGAGCAACCTCCAATAGGTGTTTATTTTTGCGTTCGGCAATATCATTTTGTTAGGGGGTATTTGTATAAAAGGTTTTATAGATGATGCCCTTCGTTTTCAAAAAATCACTCATAGTTTTATTCAAGTATTCAGTACCATTATCAGTTTGGAGGATTTGAGTAGAGGTATGAACTTGGTTAAGAATAATGGTGTAAAATTCTAAAAATATGGATGTGACATCAGATTTCTCTTTTATTAAGTAGACCCAGCACACACGAGTATGGTCATCTATGAAGGTAACAAACCATTTGGCTTGAGTCCGATTTGGGATACGGGAAAGACCCCACACATCACTATGAATGATAGAAAAAAGTTTAGACGGTTTGTATTCAAAGCGTAGAAGTGAAGAACAATGGTGTTTAGCCAATTCACAAGTATCACAATGAAAAGTAGAAATTTTATTGAATGAAAAATGAGGAAACAGACAACTTAAGTACTGGACATTGGGATGACCCATTCTTTTATGCCATAACAAAAGATCATTATTCTCAGAGGTGGACACAAGATTACACCGAATACAAGACCAGAGACTACTCACGGTTGATTCATTAAGGTAGTATAGCCCATCACACTCCTTAGCATTGCCAATCATCTTCCCCGATATGAGATCCTGAAAGATACAATCAGTAGAGAAAAAATGAGCACTACAGTGAGTTTGTTTAGTCAACTTGCTTATGGATAACAAATTACAAGCTAAGTATGGAACATGAAGAACTGAATCCAGTTGTAAAAATTTAGAAGTAGTAATGCTTCCCTTTCCAGCAATGGAGGAAGATGTTCCGTTAGTAGTATCAATTTTCTCATGTCTACTACATGGAAAATATGATGTGAATAATGTGGAGTCTGCCATCATGTGATCTGAGGCCCCCAGAGTCAACAATCCATCGGGATTTATGGAAGGAGGTATTCAATGCATAATAATTCTTACCTTGCTTGGCCACAGAAACAGTGTGGTTTTGAGATGGTTGACCAGGTCGTTGTAGTGTATTTAACACCTCTAGGAGCTTAATTAACTGGTCTTTATCTATTTGAAGGACAGCAACAGATTTGTCTAGGGCATTTTCAGAAGTGGCTTGATATCCACGTGCCTTACCCTTGCGTGGTTTCCAGTCAGCAGGCTTCCCATGAAGATCCCAACACTTGTCCTTTGTGTGACTAGTCTTTTTACAATGATCACACGAGATTTTCCCTTTTGTCTCCTTCAAACCGTGATCAAAGCTCCTACTTATCAAGGTAGAAGGTTCAAAAGTAGAAGATATGGGAACAAGGTCAGTAAGCATCACCTTTCGACGAGAAGTCTCCCTACGGACTTCTCCAAATGCATCTCGTGCTAAGGTTAATGGCGAGCGAGCTAGGATTCTGCTTCTGACATCATCTAATGAGTGATGAAGACCAGCCAATAATTGAAACACCCGCGCATCCTCAACTCGTTTTTTGTACCTTGCTACATCACAGGCACAAGACCATTCCTCTTCTGTGTTAAGGTCAATCTCCTGCCATATGGTAACGAGTTCTAACCAATATTCGGTCAAATCACGTTCGGCTTGTTTAATCTGCCAACTTTGAGTTTTCAGCTCATATGTTCGAGCACTGTCTCCACCATCTGAGTATGATTCTCGAATAGCTTCCTAGATGTCTCTCATAGTAGGCAGAAACATGAAGGAGCGTCGAACTTGTGGAGTCATCGCTGTGACCAACCATGAAGCAATTAGCGAGTTCTCGATCTCCCACATTGACAGGGCTACTGCGTTTGACTCGTCTGGTACCTTAGACGTACCGGTGATGAAGCCCAGTTTTCCATGACCACCAATAGCGAGCCATATAGCTTGAGCCCACTCACGGTAATTATGTTCGTTAAATTTATCAGACACCAGGAGAACAAAGGACCCTTCAGCAGAACTCAACCAAAGGGGAGTTCCGCCATGTGTGTATGATGAGGAGTTCTCGACGCTCGAGCCCATAGACGAAGGTCTCAAGTTGCTCGACTGTGACTCCTCTACTGGTCGTACGCTGTCGTCTGTGTTTTCTGGGTCAAAACCGTCGATCAGCTCTGATACCATGTAGGTATATTGACCAGAATAATTATATATTATTCCACTGTGCAAAAATATATACATGATTACAAGGCTAAAGGAAATAATTAGAAAAAATCAAATCACTTATTTATCCTCATAATCTTGTCTAATCATATCCCTATTAATTAGAAAAGAATATTTCCTAATTAATTATATTTCACAAATCTTTATGCTATCTGGTGGTTGGCACACCTCGGATCTAATTTTAACATGTCTTTCATAATGGACAATATTACAAAAATTACATAACGTTCATCAATCAGCACAATCAGGAAGCTTGTTCAATGTAGTAACAAACGAAAAAATATAAAATAAAATTAAAAAAAAATAAAGCATAAGTGAACATTCATATTCGATTTAAAATTTTGTAGAAATACTAACATTTTGAGTAGTTGTTATCATTTCTTAAATTAAGTTTACTGTCTGTAGTAAGAAACACATTACATGATCAGACTCATCATTCACTAAAACAACATTACATCACATTAAATGTGCTTCCAATAAATTAAATTTAATGCATCACTCTAAGCCGCTCACATAATGACATAAATCAAGTGATTCATTTACCCACATAAGCTCAGCCAAATATTTGACACAACTTAATAATTTGATCGACTCCTTGATACCCATTCATTAGATTTAAATTTGTTACACAATTGTTGAGAGAACCATGGCCAATTCTTCCCAGATTTTACAGTTGAGAGAACCATGCAACCAGTAAATACCCAAATAAAAAAAAAAAATCACAGTTTCCAGGGAGATTGGAAGTATAAGGACAGAAAGCAATAGGCAATTCTCTAGTTTATGCCTGATGGTGGCATGTCACAGTTAACATTGAATGTTAACACTATAATGATTCCCTGAATTCTATCAGATATATATATATATATATATTCATGAGTTCAAACCAAATTTTAAGTTTTCTATGTTCTCACGGGAAGCAACCTATACAAACATGTTAAAAAAAGCTGTTTGTCTGGGTCAAAGCTTACTAAATGGGCTATTTTCAAAATAGCAGCATGCAACACCTGTGGGGAAAAACCTTTTCAATTAATGAATCATAGCAATAAAAGTGGGTGAATATAATTCTAAATTACCAATGCAAGGGGCTTCTTCCATTATTATCAGGAACATCAGGGTCAGCATTCCATTTTGAAACAATGTGGTAGAGGAAAGCTGTCTGACCGAATTGAGCTGCAACATGTGTTGTCTGCGTAAAGTTTAATGTATTTACTTATTTAGTACAATCACCATCTATAGAAGTACTCAAGTGCTCCAGGGCTTAAATAAAATTGGGACTTCCAATTTTAGCTCGTGTAATTATATTTACATCACTGCAGTTATTGATAAATGGAATGAATATTTTATTGAATAAATATTCTAATATTATTAAACTATATGTTGGTAGTTTATATTAAACAAATAATTGTGGGTATCAGCATAGTGACTGAATTGTCACTTACAATTCGTCCAATAGACTTTTTGCACTACCATCAAACAATTTATCACGTGAGATTCTTAACGTTATTTTGAATAATAAAAAGGGAACAGATAAAACTAACCTGATACCCATATATATCAGCAGCACTTGCTCGTGCACCTTCTTGGAGCAAAAGCTCTGCAACCTGGATGGCACCATGGACTGCACTCCAATGTAATGCAGTCTGGCCAGTATGATCTGTTGCGTTTACATCTGCTCCATGCTGGCAATCAATACATCAAATATTTATTGAGCTGATGTTAAAACCACAGCTCAGTTTCATGTATAGCATAGATGGATTGAAAATAACGCTCCCTATCATAAAGCCCCACTATGGAAATATATGGATAATACATTTAATTGTATCAATATATAAGTGTCATGAGCAGATGGATATAGATGACAGTTATGGGAAAAGATAGATGGGCACAAAAACTGGGTTCCACGTGAAATGGAAACGGAACCTCATGCGCACAAAGCGTGCCAGAAGTGCAGGTCCTCAATCACCAAGACTAAACCAATAGAACTGGACGCAAAACGTTGAGTGGTTAGCTTGTATTCGCGGAAGCAGAGTTGGTACAAGGTCCACACAGTAGCATAAAATGTAAATAACCTAAGAAATGGGATGAACAAAGGCTAAGCAGATCAAGGTTGCAAGTTGCAGTAGTGCTGGAGGCTAAATCACTAAGAGTGTTCGCTGGGTTGCTTGGAATGTTGGATGATGCGTCCCCAAACCGCCTACCCTCTTTTTTTTTTTTTTTTTTTTAGCAAGAGACAATTATGCTCTTTTTGAAATTGTAACTGCTCCAGCCCTCGTGTAGGGAACCCACTCTTCTTGTGGAGAAACCATTGTGAAGCCCGGTGTCACTTAAGGCCTACTGCTCCATCACTATATGTGACTTATTGGGCTCCCGCTATTGTAGCCTTGGTCCGGACAGCCTGTCCACGAGGCCCAATATATTTTGACGCAAACACAGTTATTTCTTTCTTGTCATAAATTGTTATGTATTTATCTCTCTCCTTAGATGAACATCTAGTCACATGAGATAATGCAAATCCCAACAGGTGACTAACAAGCAGAGAGAAGGATAATTCTTAAAATTCGAGGACTGAAAACACAGCAACAACTTCTCTTTTGTATGAACCCTTAGGTCATATTTGATATATTAGAATTGGATCCAAGAGAAATGAATTGGAATTAGAATTGGAATTATGCTTTCAATTGTTTGGTATGCATAAATCCAATTCCTTATGGATTTCAATTCTAACAAAATACTTAGAATTCAATTTCATCTCCATCATGATGGAATTGTCACAATTCCATGAAATTGTCATAAGTACCTCACATACGCACTCCATCATGATGGCTAAGTTTTTTATTTTTTTTATAAGGGCATTTTGGTCTTTATCCATTTTAAATACATATATTTATTAATATTATATTTAGATTCCATCTTCATACCAAACATACATTTATAATTCAATTCTATTCTGATTCCAATTTCAATTTCAATTCCAATTTCAATTCCATCAAAAACTCTTCCATCATATCAAACAAGACCTTAATTATCAAGCAAACTCAGTGACTGCAAAATTCAAGTGTACTCACACTCAAGAATATCGTACAAGCCAAATGTAGGCCCCATCGTCAACAGGTCGATTCAAAAGAACAAAAGGGCAACGGCGAAAAAAAATGGTTCGAATGCCTCCAATAGCATATATAATAAATAATAAAACAAAGCAATTGATCCGCAAAAATTGTCGTCGAAATTGAAATATGCCAAACGGAATGTGGAATACAAGGAAGCAGAATGAGGCAAGCTCAAGTGCAAATAAATCAAACACAATTCAACAAACCCATCAAAGAAACAGCGCATAGAACCTCAATAATGTATTGAGCAGCGGCAGTACGATTGTTAAGTGCCGCCCGTTGGAGGGCGTAGTTTCCGAGCCCATCAGGCTCCGAGACGGAGCAACCCTCCTGCTCTACCAATCTATGAAGAGTCTCCGAATCCCCATGAGCCGCAGCGGTGTAGCAATCGTTCCGAAAGCTCTCCTCGCCCAATTCATCACCGCCAGACGCAGTGCCGGAAGCCGCCGGTTGCTGATCCTGGTATTGGACCTCTTCAACGACCTCGATCTCGGATGGCATGTCTCTCAATGGCCCTTGAATTGACCTCCTTACGAATATATCAATGGAGTTTAGCGGACCGTAGATACTCTATAATTTAATTTCTATTTCATTTGTCAAAAATGATGCCTCGATTGGTTCGTTGACCCTGTGGGGTTTCCGATTGAAGGATGAGAAACAGAGAATGATTCTTAGGCAGACAGTGCGAAAGTATGCAGGGGGGTTTGCGTCGTGGCCGTCCCTGTTTGCCCTGAGAACGATGAAGCAATGAATCAATGATACTCATAGCTTGAGGAATGACCACTGAATGATGGGTCTTGCTAAAATATAGCTGGTTTGATTTTGAAGATTCTGACTTTGATATCAAGAATGTCTGATATCTCGATTAGCGCAAAAACAAAAACAACGTCTCGTATACTTTTTTTCGTTTTTTTGATATCAATAGCGAGAGAGAGAGAGAGAGATTAAAGTCCATTCTTGGCTTAAAATGCATGGGGAGGAGGATTAGCGGCTAGTGTCTTAAGTTCCTTGCTGTATCAATGTTATACTTCTAGTTAAAACATGAGAGAAAATAATTTTTTTATTTGAATAAAAAAGAAAAAATGAGAGAGAAAAAACTTGGAAAAAAAAAAATGGAATGTAAGGCCTATTACATTTTTCTCCCAACTTTTCTCTCTATAAATAAATATTTTGAGAGTAAAATATTTTTACTTTTGTTTACCCTTTCCTCTGGGTTTTAACTATTTTTTCCTTGGATCTATCTTCGACCAAGTGACCTCAATGAAGAATATGATGACGATGATGAGCCATGTGGTGAGAGAAGATGAGACACATGGCAAGCTTGTTGATCTAGATTATATTTTCATTTTTTTATATAAATGCTACGATAATATATATTTTTATGTTATTATATTTAATTTTAAAAAGTACCCACTTTTGACTTTTAGAATATAAAAATGACATATTTTTACTAAATTATTTGATGTTAAAATATTTAACATTCTGAATTTTAATTCAGAAAACTAGTTACTAATTATAGGTAAAATAATAATTAATGGATTGATCATGATTGAGATGTTGAGTTTATATTTTGTGTTGATTGGTTGTTATATTGATAGAATTGAAATGTGGAATAATAAATCAAGGTGAAACACTTGAACATAAGTGAGATTAACTCACTATGCCACACACCGTAGTGGGTGTTGCATGCACCGCAATACATAGTACAAAATTTTACTTAAAAGCTAAGTCAGAACTTGTGAAAATAGAATAGAGAAGTTGGGAAAATGTATTTGATTTGTAGGAGCTCGAGAGTCTGCTTCTGCTAGTGATTTGTCAAATAAGTATCGTACAACCTATACTGCATTTCTATCCTATTTTCTCTGAATTTGATAGATAGAGAAATTGAATCAAAAAGTTTTAAGGAATAGGAATCTAAAAAAAAAGTTTAAAAAGGGCTATCGAATATGAAACTAAATTTTGTAACTAGTTTGGAGTTAAATGGTTGAACTTTAAGTATTTAGGCTCAATTAACCAAAAATGGTTAGGTTAAAATGGTGAATAAATAAGTTAGGAAGGTGTTATGGTCATTTGAGTAGCTTATAGGATTAGTAACTATAAAGAATGGATTATATAAATTCAAAGAATGCTAATTGAACTGTTTCATGTATTAAGGGACTTAGTTTAGCCGAATTAATATCTATACTAAATGTTGAAAATTGATTGAGGGATATTCCATTATGTAGATTGAGCAGTTGAGCCACCTTTGGGAATTCAAAGTGGTTGGTAACCCTTAATAGTAAGGCTAAAATATAATTGGAGTAACCCTTATACTTGTTTGTTTGTGAAATTATTTATAAGTATTTTATATAACTATGTGCATTGTGTTTATGAACTGATAGAGTAGTAGTATTGTGAAAGGAATATGCATGCAATTGTATGAGTAATGCATGAGATGAATATGAAGAGACATGTGTATATACATATGCATTGCATCCATGAGTATACCCTAAACTAGGATAAGGGGTCACAACCCTACTTTATGCAAATCTAAAAATTCCTAAGGGTCTTGAATATAGAGCTTGACTCTATCAGGAAGGATCTAGAAGACCGCCCATACACAAAGAGAATACCTAGTCTAAGACAAAGGTATAGTGGCCCTATCTTGTGTAAGACTGAAAGTCCTAGATTCAACGTAAAACTTGCTCCACTAGGTGAAATCGGGAGTACAGAAACATAAATGATGAATGGATGAGTATGAATTTGTGGATATACATATTATACTGTTTTATTGAAAATCATGTTATTTTATCTCTTGTTTAAAATTTTACTTACTAATTGATATTTAAGGTTTATCCAAGTTAATAGGAATTACATCTCACTTAGTTACCTTTATACACAGGTGAAAGAGAGTACGAGAAGGTCAGGAAATGAAGTAAGAAAAGAATAGCTTCGCTTGATAGTGATATGACTACCATTATGAATAATGAATATATAATATATTGTTAAAGTTAAGTTGCCAAGTAGGATACATAAGTGTATGTGAAATAATTATGTGAATATGTGTGTGTATATATATATATATATATATTGGTTGAAAACTTGTTTGTGCTTATGATTTTGCATCTCACCGAGGGTATCACAATAGTAGGTATGTGGGTAGGCCTAAATGTCAATCAAGCAAGTGTGTGTTATTATATAACTTGTTCCACTTGTATTGAATGTGATTTTGTTATGTGCAATTATGTGTATATGTGAAAACCTGACACAAATGGTAAGGTTGAGCTCCATTTAAAAGAGTTGATGCGTTATTTTCAATCGTATGGTGAGGCTTAGCCCCATATGAGGAAATCAGATGATTGAAGTCGAACAAGTATATATGTATATGTAGTTATATGTATTGCGCCTCATATAAATTCACAAGTGTATAAAGTAGCGTTGAGAGATCAAATTGAGTATTTGATGTGATATATATGATTTGACATGTTAACTAGGTGTGTATAGTTCTTTTGAACTTGGTTCAAGGCCTAAAATAGTCTAATAGGATAAGGAATGAAAATTGAACATTTAGGGTACAAGTTTTAATAGAAAAAGTAGCTTTTGACACTTGAGTGTTCAAATTTAGATTGAACTGTTAGATCGAGTCAAACTTATCTCATTAGATAGAATATGTTATGAGCTTTGTATGGGTGCTTAAATCACTCCAATTGGACGTCCAATGTGAAAATAGCGCGTGGTGGAAGTTCACTCTATGAACTATCATATGATAGTAAAATTTACTATCATATGCGCCACAGTGCATTGTATGCCACACCATTGGGCATGGCATAGAGAAGAACAAAGTACGTTGTTTTGTGCCATATGCTGCGGTGCATGACATATTTCGTAAAAAAATAATTGTGCCTCTTTGAGTCTTGAGATATATGTTTACACTTCTATTAACCCTCTTATTTAAACATGCTTTTGACGAAATCAAAATCTCGCATTTTGAAAACAAATTGAGGGCTATTACTTTGATATTATGTGATTATTGTTTGTTGAATATGTGTTGAGAATAGTAAAGTTCAGATTGAGAAGGAACTTTACAAAATATAATAATATGAAAATAAAATTTTTAATGTAATTTTTTCTTTTGTTTTATTTTTAAAAATAATATATATATATATATATATTATATCATGTTCTATTATATTTTTAAAAATAAAATAAAAGAAAAAATTACATTAAAAAAATTATTTTCATATTATTATATTTTATAAAGTCCCTACTCAATCTGAATTTTACTATTCAATCTAAACTTTACCAGTCTCAACACATATTCATCCCTACTTATAATAAGGGTATTATAGGTATCATGTTATCTATTCATTTTCTTTTCTTTGTATTTTCTCTTGTCTATCCAATTAGGAGGAGTGATAATAATTTCTTTTTATTTTTCTTTTCTCTTTATTTTCTTTCCTCTCAACTTTTCTTCCCATCCAAATAGAGGGTAAATGACAGACCCCATGGCACAGATGGCATAGTATTAATGGCAACAAAGCTTGAAAATGGTAATCATGAGTATGGTGACATGGAAGGAGCCTAATACTTTCAATCCAAAGTACCTAAAGACCCATTACAATATATTGGAGGTCCAATGATAAGAGCCCGAACTAAAGCCATGAAGCAAGCCTTGTTCAGTATTATGCAATACGTTCAAGAGCTTAGAGAGCATTGGGACACTCCTTTTAAGCCCAAAGGAGAGCATCTATACGTGTATAATGTGCTTAACATCCAAATTCATGAAGAGTCAAGTTCAAGAAATGCAAACCTTAGCCCAATGCAAGGAAGACTACAAGTTGAGCCTCTTGCAAGCAAGGAGGCATGAAACTCTAGTAAAGAAGTCAAGGGTGGCATGATTTTAAATCCTTTATGATCACTTGATTGTCTCCTAAATCATTTCCTATTTTAATGGTCCTTTGATTTGATTTCCTATTTTGAGTCTAGTCAAAGGTTATAATTAATTATGCTATTAATTTTTAAATTTTGTAATCCCATAATTTTAAAATCACATCTCCTAAATTATGTGGTTAAATATTTTATCATTATTTTTTCTTTTAGTATTAGGAAATTAGGGTTTTAATTTTAGGAAATATTCTTCTCTATGAGCCTATATAAATTAGGCATGCTCCCTCTTATAAACGGAACAGAAGTTGAATGAAATTATTCATTTTAGAGTTTATAACTCTTGTGAGCCTTAGTGCTTTATGGTGGCATCCCATGTGAGAAACAGACGTGATCAAGAGCATGATCAACTCTTGTGGTGTCTTCAAAGGTTAAGGTTCCTAGAGGCAGGTACTTTAAAGGATCTTCTCCTAGGTCATTATCCCATTGTTTATTTCATATCTTTCTTTATTTTCATCATAAATTTCGTCCCTTTCTTTTTGTTCTTGTGTTTTTGTTGTGTTTTAGGGTTCTGTCCCTAAAATAGCATGATTTTGCTTCCACATCTCCTATTAGATTGGTGTCAGAGCTTTAGTTGCTAGTTTTGGTTCAAATTCTTGTCCTTTCTTCTTCTTTTTCATCTTGAGTTATTTCTTTTTGTGATCATCTCTTATCTACCCCATCTACTTCTATCTTTTAGTTTTTTTCTTTTTCATCTTTGTGATTTTTTTTATCTTATGTGAGTTTTTATTTTATTAGACTTCTTAAAAAAGAGAGAGAGAAAATATACCTAGAAATTCATGCAAAAAAAGGCAAAAAAAAAGGGGTTAGTGTGTTGAAAAAAAGAGAAAAAAAATTCAAAAATTCAAAAAAAATTATGAAAAAAAAATATTGCTATGAGTTATGACTATAGAAAAAGACTATTCTTGAATTCTAAGTCACCAAGAGGTTGCCTAAAGAGAAAAGTCAACTTGGATGATAAGAAAGTCT